CGCGGGGCTGCCCCCTCCACATAGGAGCAAGGCCAAGAAGGTAAGAGGTACCACCGGGCACACACCAAAGACAGCACGCCCCCCTGCTGGTAACAAGGTGCTTTCAGAGGCTTGGTCTCGGGGGAGAGCTGGGGCACATCTCTGAGTGGGACTTTAAGACTGGATGGGGAGTGCCTTGGAGGGTGTGGGGGGGAAGCCAGGCGGTAGGTCCCTGTGTCTGGTTCCACCTGGAGGCTCAGCCAATGATTGTGAAGTGGATGGATGGATGGATGGATGGATGGATGGATGGATGGGTAGAGGGTGTTATTTCCCAATGCATTTCTGGGACAAGACCACACTTGACCACAAGAACTGCGTGTGGAACTCTCTTCTCCACCCAGCTCCTCAGGGTGGGGGCGGGGGGGGGTGCTGGGCACAACAGTCGGGTGGAGGGTTCGAACTGTCATCTTGGGCTGAGCCACCACCACACCCCTGGGAGCAGGAGTTCTGAGAACAGCAGCTCTCCTGGCATTTGATGACTCCTTCCGAACCCCCACCCGGAGAGACTTCGCATGGCAGGTGGCAGCCAAAGGCCTGTCCCCGGGGTTCCCCAGCCCGGCTGGAAAAGCTCAGGGCTGTCCAAAGAATTCACTGTCTTTCTAGCCAACACCTGACATAAGCCTCTGACCTTCTTTTCTTAAGAGCATTTACTAAAGAAAAAGGGTGTGTGTTTGGGGGGGGGCTGCTTACACAGTGAACCCTCTGTCTCTGGACCACCCACAACCCAGGAGGGCTTTTCTCAACCATCTCAGAGCCATTCCCCCCCCCCCCCCCGCTCAAAATGTCATTGTGGGGGGAAAATGGGGCCTGTCTCCTGGGCTTTGCGGGAGACAACGAGCTGCCAGCAAGTGGGCCCAGCTGGCCCCTCCTTCGTATTTGTTCACTCCTGACCCTGCCTGAGCCCCCCAGGCCCACGCCTGCCCCTTCTCGCTCCCTCTGTCACCTCTGCAGAAAGCTGGGTGTCCCTGCTGACAGTGGTCACCCAGGGCACCCTTGTCATACCTGAACTTCTCCTGCTGGGCCTTGGTCACAATTGCCAGGTTCCTGACAACCCTCCCCAATGGTGCGTCCCTTCCCTCCAGCCCGGCCTGCTTTATTTTTCTCCAAACATTTATCAATAACATTGAAGCATCCACTCGATGTTATTAAAGGAAAACTGTTCCTCTGTGAACGATTCTTCCGACACAGAACGTGTGGGGTGCTCTCCACACTGATGGTTTCTCCGACTCTCGGACACCCCTGGGGGAGCCTGTACTTTCCTTCCCTCCTGACACTACCTGGGGGCTTATGGGCTCAGACCCACCGGACTGCCCCCACATCAGATGGCCCCCAGGGTCCCCACACTTGTGTCCAACTGGAGGTCAGTTGGGGGCCTTCCCACACCACCTTCCTTGGGTTCCATGATTTGCTAGAACAGCTCACAGAACTCAGGGAAACACTGGACCATGTTTGCCAGTTTGTGATAAAGGATGTCGTGTCACACAGAACATGGCTGAGCAACCAGAGCAAGGCTGAGAGGGTCCTGGTGCAGGTGCATCCGACCCCGCGGAGTTTGGGGTGCACCACCCCCTGGCATGTGGCTGGGTTCCTCCACCTGGACATTCTCCCAAATCCCCGGTTTAGGGATTTTATGGGGGTTGCTTTGAGCAGGCAGGATGGATGACTTACCTCCAGCCCCTCACCTCCCCGCAGAGAGTGAGGGTGGGGCCAAAAGTTCCAAGCCTCAGCCATGGGGAGCCCACCCGGGGTCACCTGGTTAGGATTAAAGACGCTCCCGTTGCCCAGGAAATTGCAAGAGAGAGGGGCCTTCCCTGTTCCCCAGGCATCTCCGAGCCCCGCCCGGAGTGATAGAGGCAGGTTGCTGTGGGTTGGGAGGGGCCCACACAGGAGCACCCCCTCCCCTGCGGCTGGAGGATCAAAGCTGGGTTGGAAAGAGCTTGCAAGCCAGTGCGGTTGCCATGGTGGTTAATGTTATTTGTGTCCTCTGCAGGAAAGGCCCCCGCCGCCCAGCTTGCATAAATATTCATTGTCCAGCCATTTCTGCTGCCCTGGCCAGGCCAGCACCCTGCAGGGACCTAAACGAATGGAGGCCTGCCCGAGCCAAATGGAAAATCACCAGGGAGGGCAGGCTTCGGAGCTGTGGGAGCAGGGGCCCCAGAAAACCTGGGGGGCCCCCCCACCCTCCCTCCCCTCCTCCTCTTCTTCCTCCTCCAACATCAGCTCAGACAGCTTCAGGGGTGACACTGGGATGGCCATGCCGCTGGGTGTCCGAGGGCGGTGGCGTTTGTCATCCCACCTGCTCTGGTTTATTTATCCACCCACTCGTGGGGAGGCATGACACCGGGCCACGCCTGGGCTGGGCACTGTGCGGGGGGATACAAGGGTGAGCCAAAGGGGACAGGCAGGCTTGTTCAGGAGAAGGGAGCCCACCTGCCCCACCAACCCAGCAACCGGCTGGCTCCCCGGACTGGAGAGCTGTGGTTGTTCGAACGTTCACCTCTTTACGGGCCCAATATTGCGTGTTGACATCCTGAGCCAGCAAACCCATTTCAAACCGTTAAAATATCAAGACAATATATTCCTCCTCCAGACATTGTGTCCCCTCCTCCCCGAGGCCCAGCCCTGCTTGGGTGCAGCTGATGGCAGCGCACTGCCCACCATGACCCTCCCACTCTGACATCCGGGGCTCCTTCGAGCTGGCTTTATCTGCTAATCACCCATATCCCCAGGACTGCCTTGCCCTCCAGGCTCCAGCCTGACGTCCCAACCACCCGCGCAGCACCCCTGCACCCCTCTTCTGTGCACCTGTTTCTCCAGATTCCATGCAAGGTTGAGTCTTGCCTCCTCCAGGCAGCCCTCAGTGATCTGTTTGGCTTTACTTGCTGCCTAGGGAACCCTGTGCAGCATTTGATATTGTGGAACATCTTCTTTTCCTTGGATCTCTCCCCTCCATTGGACACCCCTGGGGGGGATGTCGGCTGGCACAGTGGCCCGGGCTCTCTAGCACGCCAGCCTTGGCTCCGTAGGATTCCAAAGTCATCAAGACAGGAAACTGAAAGTCGTCTTTTTTTCGTTTTTTATGTAGGCTCCATGCCCAACCCGCGTGGAGCCCAACGCGGGACCTGAACTCACGACCCTGGGATCAAGACCTGAGCTGACTGAGATCAAGAGTCGGACACGCACCCAGGGGCCCCAGCGAACTGCAAGGCTTCCTGAGGCTTAGGCCCAGGAATGGCTCAATGTGAGTCCTGCCAAAACCTCCTGGTCGACACAGGTCACAGGCCAGCCCAGAGACGGAGATGTCCGGAGACAGGCTCCAGCTCTGGATGGGGGAGCAGTAAAGTCACACGGCAGAAGGAGCCGGCATGCAGGAATGGGGAGAGCGTTTTCTGGTCCTTTCTGCCTCCTCCACAGCAGCCGACATTACTTCTAGGAGAAGCATCATCCTAGGAGAGAAGACGGTGTGGGGTGGCGCGTGTTAATCTGTTCCTTTCTTCCCCTGGCCGCGTAGCTCAGAGCAGAGGTGGCCAGGGCTGATTCATGGGCGTGTGACCTGTGCAGTCGCAGGGGTCCCTGCACTCAGAAGGGCCCTATGCTTGGTTTGTTGCCCTGGGGTCACTGTCTTGAAATTCTTCCGAACGATGAACAAGAGCTCCGCGTTTTCATTTGACACTGGGTCCCACGGATTAGGGAGCTGGACCTGACAGTGGCAGGCCCTCCCCTTCTCTGGGAACCCTGAAGGAGCAGCCTTCCTCCCTGACAGAAGGGACCAGAAGCACTGGAACTGGTCTGAGACTGTAATCAGGGTGGGAGGTGTATGTGTGTGTGTGTGTGTGTGTGTGTGTGTGTGTGTGTGTGTTGAGGGGGGTTTTCTGCAGCCCAAGACCTCTTGGTCATTAAAGCCTTTGACACCTGATCCATGGATTTTTTGACTGGCCTGCCCCATCCCACTCCCACTCCAGAGGTAGACCCCTCCTACCTTTAGGATGACCAGACTTCAAGTTGGGGCCCAGGGCTTTGGGTCTAAGCTCCCATTAGCTGTCAGCTGTTGCCTAAGCCACGAAGCCCATCAGTTTCTTGCACTGTTCCTGCCTCAGTGGGACCAGAGAGGACCGCCTTTGGGGCCTGATATGGACCCATTAGTAGGGACCCTGGTGCAGGACTCAACACCTGGTCCCTTTTCATTTGGGCATGTAACATTGACAGCGACATTCTCTGTGGCTCTCTCTACCTCCAGCATGTGCTCGGGGACAGGGGCCGCTCACCTGCCCCAGCATCCCTGCTGCAACACAGTTGGAGCTCAACAAATGTCAAGGAGGCATTTTACAGCCATTAGAATACGGAGTCTGAGCCCTGCCTGGATTCCAGTCCTGGTCCTGCCACTGAGAGACACCAGCTACATGGCCCTGGGCCAGGAAACGCGCCCTGCCTCAGTTTCCTCTTTCGTAAAAACAGAAACAGGGTAACAGTAGTGCCTACTTTATATAGTTGCTGTGGCAACAAAGTGAGCTAATATGTGGGAAGAGCTCAGAGCTGCACGGAACACCTAGTCAGTGCCATATGTTTGCTGCTATCAGTGAATGAATGAAACTATAAATTCAGGCTCACTGGGCCAGTCTTTCAGATATCATTCATTCATTCCCTGAATGTCTGTTGGGTGTTGACGGTGAGTCAGGCGCGGTGTTAGGTGCGGGGGATTAAAAGGTTGAGTAAGATGCACTTTGCTCTCAGAGGACTCACAGGGTGAGGGCTCCCGATGGGGAAGTGGATGCGGCTCCTGTGATCTGTTCCAGGTGTGAGGCCGGGGGGCCTGGGGAGGGCCCCGGGGAGGGGGGGTCGTCATCTTTCCTTGAGTGGGGCAGACGGGGCACCAGGACGGACGTACCTGGAGCTGAGCCTAGCCGCGACAAATAGATGGCTTCCTTAGCTAAAGCACACGTTGGATTCAGACACTTAGGAGGTAATGTTTTTGGCTTTTGTGTTTAATGATCATAATAGAAAAAGACAAAAGCAATAGTGCTGACAACGGACACGACTCCACAGCCACATTTTTACATCCATCAAGGTTAGATATTTTTCACCAAAGAGCGCCTTGAAGCCCTCCATTAAGAAATCGTCTTTTCACTGTAGTAAAAGTTAGTGATCTCATCGCAAAACTGGGGGTGGGGGGTGTTGAGTAGCAAAGGGTTACAAGAATAGTTAAAATACCTTTTTTTTTTTAATTAAGTAAACTACTTACAAGTTGATTATGAAAACATTAGTAAGACACAGAAACGTTTCTGATTCTCTCTGCGTGAAGAACTGGTGTCTGGAGAGCGGCTCGTTACAATACGGTTTCCGCAAAACTTTAAATAGTAGAAAGTGTGACTATGCCTTCAGTCAGGGGTGGGGGGGGCGTGGGATGGGGCACATGGAGAGTCAAAAACAAGGTTAAGATGCAGGTTTGCCCACAGGCTGTTAGGCAGCCCCTCCCATCCTCATCCCTTCCAAGCTCCCCGCTGCCCCCCACCCCAGCAGCGCTTCTCAGGTGCAGCAGAGGTCAGGTCCCTCCAGGTCCCAGGGACCACAGCTACTGGGACAAGTTCAGCCTCGCCTTCCCATCCACTTTGTAGGGCTTCCTCCATCCGGGCCGAGTCTCCCCTTGAGAGCCCAAGGTGGTGGGGATGGGGAGTCCAGGGATACCCAAGACTTGCTAGGTTGCAGGCCACTGCCCTCCGCTGGGATTATCTGACCTCAGGGCCGCAGCCAGGATCCCTGCTGTTGCCCAGAAGACCTCTGATGTATTCCGTGACTCACAAAAAGGGGAAAAGCGGAGCTTTGGAGCTAGCATTGCCCACCGTCGGCTTTCCCCATTTCACCACAATTGGTGTTTTAGGGCCAGATCATTCATTCTGTGTTGTTGGGGGTGCTCAGCAGCATCGCGGGCTCCTGTCCGCTAGATGCCAGTAGAAGGTCACCCCCCACCAGGTTGTGAAAACCAAAATTGTCTTCGGACATTGCCAAAGTTCCCCCGAAAGAACAGAATTTTCCAAGGTTGAGAACCACTGGCATAATGGTTGAGAAACGCTGCTACATGGATGCCCTGGGCTCCTGCCGACCAGCCCGAGCTCTCACAAACCTCTCAGAGACTCCGTCCCCCCGAAGTGTGAACGTTTGGAAGCTCCCTTCCTACCAGCATTGGTCAGAATCACCTGGATTGCTGGGACAATGCTTTGGACTGGACGTGCAGTGATTCTCTCGTTCCTTAAGACAGTAGTGGGACAGCCCCTGGGATCACTGGTGGCTCTTAGCCACATGGAGGGGCCACATGGTGAAGAATAAGGGCTCTGGATTTCCCCAACTGCCACAACACACAAGTTCCCTGCACATATGCCTTGGGGATGTGTCAGGATTTAACCCCAAGGCAGGACAGATCTCAGCCACCCTCCTGGGATGGCGGGAAGGACCCAGGGCCAGAGGATGGAGCCTCATGAAAGCAGCTGCCTCGAGTTCCAGCAGGTGCAAGTCCGTACCATGGCCGAAGGATGGGTGCGGGGTACGTCTGGGGTACCGTGCAGCCTGTCCTGCCTCTCCCAGGGCTCCCTCTGCTTTTATCAGCTCTCTTGATAAAACAATTTATGACCTTCCCAGTGACTCAAAACAAACAACACAGACTTACACTCCCAAATCTACGGAGCCAATTTTTCATACATTTCGACCATTCCATTTTGCTCCTGACAGCTGCCCTCTTCTCACTCTGGGGGAATCGTTCCTCTCTTCAGTCACTGTGGTTTGCACTATTTTGTCCTCTGTCACACACACCCCCCGCCCCCCAAAAAAAGAGAGGCAAGAAAATGCCCAAGGTCTAATCTCCCAGGAGTGACTTTCTGGGGACATCTGGCCGCCTACTTGATTCTGATGACCCGAGTATCTTGGAGAGGCTCCTTTTTTTTCCGCTTGGAGATTATGAACTCTGTCCCTCTGGGCTCTCAGCACTCAGCTCAGCTGGCCTGTCCCATGTCCCTGTCACGGAATGACTGAGGCCAGGGGCCCATGGGGCAGGCGGGGCAGGAGAGGTGGGGCAGGCCACTACAGGACAATGGGACTCTGACTGTTCCCGTGGGGTCCCTGAGCACAGCTGCTTGGTTGTCCCATCAGGGCACCCAGCCCAACTAGCACTCATTCTGGGGGCGGTCAAGGGCACGTGCCAGGACATGGCCCAGGGCGCCAGGCGACAGCTGGCAGAGAGCGCGATGCTGGTCCTGGGGCTGGTGCTGGCAACCCAGGGCCAGCCCTGCACTCCCCGGTGACTGCCCAGCAGGCTGGGAGATGGTGTCCTGGGCCAGGCAGCGGGGGACCTGCCAGTTCTCCACCCCTTTACCCGCCCCGACATTACAGGTCCTCACTGGGGGCTCTCTAATGCCTCTTTACTGCTGGGAGGTTCTCAGACTGCTCAACATGTGCACATGCTCCTGTCCCCCTTCCAGGACCTACACTTGAAATCCTCGATTCAGGACCCAAACAGCCCCAGCCTCGGAGTCCCCGTCCTGGGACGGTCCGTTCCAGAGGGTTCACGGTGGAGAGCGTGCACGTAGGGAGACACCGGGTAGCCACCCAGCCTGGGGAGCCAGCAGCGGCGGATCTGAATCACAGCTCTCTAGATGTGGGTTCGCAGACGCACTGGCCTGGCCTCAGTTTTCTCAGCAGAAAAAAAGGGGGGATGATAATTAACGTGCCCTTCTCTGCACCTCACTTCTGCCTCTCAGGGATGGGTTGAGAAGTCAATGGGATACAAACAGAGCACAGCACAAGGAAGATGCACGATAGATGACCACAGTAAGGATAATAATTATCAATAATATCACTGCTAATGATGAAAGAAGGTCATGCTCCTGAGGAAGGACAGGAGCATTTGTCTGGAAGGAGTCAGGCGCACAGCAGACGATGGCCGAGTTTCTCCAGTCTCCAGGGAGGGATTCCAACATACGCTAGTGGTCTGGCCGGCATCCAGGCCTTCCATTTGGAACAGGCTGGAAAATGGCTTATTGCCTCCCCAGCCAAGTGGTACTAGCCTGCCCTCCCTAACTTTTCCCCTCCGATCCCAGGGATCTCCTGAAAGAAGATACAATCGTCTCTCTCTGGAGGGCAGGGGAGGGCAGGGAACTCTCACCTGCCTCTTGACCTCGATCTCAGGGAAAAGGGAGGGACAGCAGAGCAATCACCCCGCCCAGGCCCAAGCAGGAGGTGGAATCTCCTCGGGACATACCTGGCTAACGTGTCCTCTGGCCTCTCCTCCAAAGCTCCCGTGACAGTGGCTCCAGCCCTCCTAAAGCAGGTGTTGCTTTGTTCAGTGAAGTGTCCCACATGCAAACAAACACAGGTACGGACACCTGTGGCTTGCAGAGGGAAGATGAGGAGGCATGTCAGAGGCCCAAGCACGGGGAACATTCCAGCAAACGCAGGGCCCCTTCTCTGAAGAGCAGCTCCTGAAGAGGCAAGCCCCTTCTTCCTCAGCATCGGCTCATTAAGTCAAGGTGGGCTCTGGGGCCAACCTTACCCAGGAGAAGCCAGGTGGGAGCCCCAGGCTGGGGCGTGAGACAGGAGCCTCCATCCTGCCTGCTCGGGAGAGGGTCTCAACAGAAGGCCTGAGCCTGGGCTGGAGCCTCACCCACAACACAGACCATCCTGACCCTCCTCAGCGGTTCTGGCTGCCCGAGCCTCCCTCCTTGCACGAGCCCCTTTGTTGGGCTCTAGGTCATGGTCAGGGTCCTTCTGCACGTCTCCCAAGAAAGCTGCTCTCTAGTAACTTCTCTGGCCACACAAAAACTCTTGTGCTCAACTTTAAAGAGAGGGGCAGGTGACAGGGCCCCATCCCTGAAGCTTAGACAAAGAGAGGGCAATGGGCAGGGGGATGAGGACGCCCCATTCGGAGGACGATCAGACTTCTACCTCTGGAGGAAGCCAGAGCTGGCCCGGGCCACACCATGACATGGGACCTTGGGGAATGACCTCTGTAGACCCAGAGCCTTGTTTAAATGTACCCTGGAGGTGCCACCCAGCCACTGACGGCAGCATGGTGCAGCAGCAGGAGGCTGGCTTTAGAGCTGGAGGGTCCACACTCAAATCTCAGCTTGCCACTTTCATGCTGTGTGGCCTCAGGCAAGTTACTCCGCCCCTCTGAGCTTCTGGTTCCATATCTACGTACTGGAGCAATGATGCTGTGAGGTAATCATCCAGATTAAACACATACATGTGGGTCTCTAGCCCGGTGCCTGCCTGTTACCTAACATCCAAGACAGAGCCGAGCTAAGTAAGGCAGGCGGGACAGCACAGCACCCTCTCTGGCTGGAAATCTGTCCTTTACCCTTAATTGGACATTCTCATGCGCATCTATCCTTGTTGTTATCTAACTGGTGGTGGGGAAAAAAAATGGATAAAAATACTGTAGGAGACTGGGACAATCGTAGAAGGCAGTTTGAATAAGATGGTCCCTCAAGCTCCAGGTCCTGTGTCTGTGGTCCTGACACTGAGGAGAGAGAAATATTTGGAAGTTGAATTTAACTGGCATTTATGCCAGGGGAAATGAAAGCCTTCACAGGGGAGACCCCTGTGCCCAGAATTACCCAGAGAACACCCGGCCCGCCAGGGCTGCCCTGGATACGCGGAGTCTTTCCTTAGAGCTAGGACCACACTCTCTGCTCCTCCTCTGTCACAGCACACAGAACCCTCTCTCCCACTGCCATCACCGCAGGCCATTTGGAGGACAGGGAGCTGTCACCTGCCTCTTCACGGGGCTCCTTTGAGGCTGTGGGGTCAGAAGGTAAGGAATCAGGATATCTGGGCCAGAGTAACCCCCACAAAGACACCAAGCATCACCTTGGTTCCCCATCCTGGCCCTGGACCTCGTCCTTGGGCTCTCCTGAAGACACCTGTATAAGAAAAGCCCTTGCTGATGGGGCACACGTGGGGGCTTGGGACAGAGAAGAGTTTGCTAGAGAAGTAGCCGGGGTGACGGCCACACCATGGCTAGCCACGCAGCCCAGCCCCCAGCCTGGTCCCACGGAGAGCACAGCCCTGTCAGTGATTCCAGAAGGAGCCCAGGCACAAGGTCCCTCTCTGCAAGGGTCACTCGTGACCTCCACTTGAGCCACAGCATTTGTGCACGCGTGCACAGCCACAGTGGCAGATGTGGCTAAACAGAACTGGCAGCCGTCTGCTAACGCTGTCTGGAGGTTGGGCTGGTAATCCTGTTATCACAGCAGCTCAGCGCCAACCTCACAGGCGAATGACTGCCTCTGGACAATTAAGATGTCCCTTTGCCTGTCATCAGGAACACTCATTTCTCCTGAGACCACAGGGACACACAATTAGCCTTTTTGCAATTGTCCCCAAACAGCACCACAGCTTCCCACCCAGGCTTTTAAGTCTCTCAACCACATAGGGGACGTTTAGAGGATTTATTTTCTTTTGCACGGCACGGGGGAGCAGGGGGGCGAGGAGAAAGCCACTCCTGGCCTGCAAGTGAGGGAGCCCGCGTGTGAGCCTCTCCCACTCTGCTGGGCACAGGGGAGCCATCTGGGGAAGGGAGGTACTGTGCAGGGGCCTTTCCTAAGGACAGAAGAGCGAGTCCTTTTCCGTGCTGCCCCTCTCTCCCAGTGCCTCCCATCCTGTTCTGGTCTTTGCAGGAGGCTCCCCTGCCTCCCAGACCCCCCAGCCACCGACTTGGAGGAATGCAAGGAGGCTGACCCGGACAGAGCTCGTCCCCGCCTGCAGGGGATCACGGTCCCCAAACCCAGGGTACAATGCAGGAGTCTGAGCACCCTGCCCACCTGGCACACAGCTTCCAGACCCCGTGGACATTCTCCCCGAGGGCAGCTGAGAAGTAGGAACTTGCTTAAGAGAGTGCTTCTTTGGGGCTGAGAGAGCCCGGTGAGTCAGGAAGCGTCCCTCCTGCCCCGGGGGCTCCAGCACCCTGCCCTGTGGTCACCGGCCAATCGCCCTCTCCCTCCCATCCGTCGGAAGATCAGGTGGGCATGAGCCCGCCATCCCTAAAGTCCCGTGATTGCTCAGAGGAGAAAGCGTCTTCAGGCAGGTGGTCTGAAGACTTGACTACTTGGCAGATCTGCAGTTTTAAAGGCGCTGCTTCTCCTTTTAAAAAGAAGAGCAAGTCCGTCCAGCAGAGAACCCCCCACCCCTGGAAATCCCACCACGTCACCAGTAATCCCCCCGGCCTTGGATTTCCCGATGCATCGGGGTCTCAAAAGGGGCCAAGTGTCTGGTGACAGAGGTGCCCTGTCCAAGTCACACGAGGAATGTTCTATGGCCCAGTAACCACCACCGGTATTCCAGAGGGCTGAGTGGGCGGGGAACACTCCAGTTCTGAGGGCTGCTCTTGCCCGGCACCCCACACACCAGGGGTGTAAGTTGGCATAAAAACAAGACACATATGTGATTATTTACTGCCAGCAAGCGATCGTCCAACCACGTCCATAGTTCACACCTAACTGGCTGTTTCCTCTGGTCTTACCTTCTTGGAATACAGTTTCAAAAATCTTCCAATTTGCTCCTCGAAGTCTTTGCCCCATCACGCCTCCAGGGGCTGGAAGCTCACGCTCCCGTGTTTTCTGGATCAGCTTGACCACAGCACGGAAAATTTGAAAATCAGGGCTGCTTGGGGGGAATTCCCGACCCTGCAGGGTCGCTGCCCCCGGAGAGGCTGTGTGCGTGGTCAGAGCTCCTGGTTCCAGACTGTGGGCACAGCCAAAGGCCAACAGTGCCGGTGCCCCGAGCAAAGCCTGGCCCTGCCGTGAGCCCAGCGCGGGGTGAGCCGGCCCGGAGCTCGTGGGCGCCCCGAACCTCAGAAGGTGAAGGCGTACACCACCCCAACCACCACAATGTTCCCCAGTGTCGCTATGATGGCAATCCAGAGCAAGACGGCGTCGTTGGAGGACCGCGGGGGCTCCTCCAGCTGGCCCTGGCCGTTGGAGGCCGCGTGGACGTTGGTGGAGGAGTTAAAGAGGGAGTACTCCGTGCTGAAGTCCTCGTTGGGCGAGTCCATGAAGGCGCCTCCCATCATGGGCAGCTGCGGAGAGGGAGACAGAGAATTAACTGGGGCTCATGGGGCTCGGGAGGCACCCCCCCAAGACACAGCTGCCTGTTCAGGCAGCCCCGTGTGCACACACAGCCTCTCCCGGGGCTCTCCTCGTGTTCGTTCTCACGGGCAGTGCCTGGTTGAAGCTAGCGAGGAGATAGCTTTTAAGCAACGCTTGGAGGCAGATACGCTCATGCCCATTTCACAGATGGAAGCACCAAGGCACACAGCAGTGGAGCAGCCCACCCACAGCCGCCGGCAGTCGCCGGGACTTACAGACCCCCTCTAGGCCAGGCCCTCCACGGCGGCACGGCTTGCAAAACGCCGTCCCTGCCTCTGCTCATCGTAAAGTTATCACGCTCAGAACATTAAAGAGATGTGAAAGATGATAAAGAAAAATTGAGGGCAGCCCGGGTGGCTCAGCGGTTTAACGCCACCCTTGGCCCAGGGCCTGATCCTGGAGACCTGGGATCGAGTCCCACGTCAGGCTCCCTGCATGGAGCCTGCTTCTCCCTCTGCCTGTGTCTCTGCCCCCCTCTCTCTGTATCTCATAAATAAATAAATAAAATCTTAAAAAAAAAAAAGAAAAATTGAGAATCTGCCTCACTGCTTTAGGTTAATCACTGTTAACATTGTGCCATTTTTCTTTGGCACCTTTTTCCTAGGTGAGTGAACGCGGGTGTAGGTGTGTGTGAGACAGAGAGAGAGAAAACACGTCTGAATATGTGGTTTTACATTCCTGTATGACAAGTCCATCACACACCATTTTACCCGTTGTACACTATTCCACCGCAAATACAAACCCCAATATATTTATTTAAAATATTTTATTTATTTATTCATGAGAGACACACAGAGAGAGAAAGGCAGAGACACAGGCAGAGGGAGAAGGAGGCTCCCTGCAGGGAGCCTGATGCGGGACTCGATCCCGGGTCTCCAGGATCACACCCTGAGCCAAAGGCAGAGGCTCAACCACTGAGCCACCAAAGCGTCCTTACACACCCTGATTTAACCCTCCCCCTAGAATTGGAGATTCAGGAATTTCGTTTTTTTTCCTTTTATAAATAATGCACTGATAAGCATCCCATATGTGCATTTGAGCGTACTTACATGCTTATACACGCATTTTTATTTATTGGGTCAGATGCCCAGGCACGGAACTTCGGAGTCGACAGGTATGAACGCTTCAGAGCGTCTGGCGTACAGAGACACACTCCTCAGAAGAGTGATTCTAATTCCCAAAGCCTCACACATAAGATGTCAGCACGTTTGCACTCCAGGGATGGGAGTAAAGGCTCCAGGCTGGGGATGGGGACGGTGGACCCCTCATACAGCCACAAAGAGACCGTCCCTGCTCCAGGCCATCTGGGTCACTCCAGGGGTGGATGTGCCTTAGGCTCAGGATTGGCTCTGGCATCTACTGGGCTCACAGTGTGTGTTTGCTGGGAACGGCCCCCGAGTGAGTGTGTCCTTCGGTACACATTTCCTGAGCACTTGCAGCTATCAGCACGGAGGCCCTGCCGTAGACTCAGGGAATGTGCAAGAGATTTTACAGTTAACTACTCAGCTGTCCTGTTGGAGGTGCCACTATATCCCCATTTCCCAGATGGGTCAGCAGAGGTCGAGGCTACGGCGCCAGTTGGTGGTGGAGTCAGGGTCGAGGGCCAGTCTGGCCGTGCGGCCGGCGTTTCCCACTCTGCTCACAGCCGCCCCGACTCCGGGGTCAGACTCCGGAGTAAAGATCACCGTCCCCAGGGAGACTCGGACGACAGGGGAGCAAATGGGGGGCCACTTCACTCAGCCACTCCGCTGACAAATACGTACGAGGGGTGTGTTCATCAGGGGCCACAGCGCCAGCCTCTGGATACAGGTGAGCGAGGCAGGTGGGGGCCCCGCTCTCACAGGGTCACACTCCAGTCCGGGGAGGAGAGCAAGGAGGAAGGAGAGGCCAGAGGGAGGCAGGCAGGGGCGGAGGAAGGGAGCACATCTGGTGGGAATACAACCAGCAGGATCGACACGGTGGGGGCGGTGGGGGGCTGCCTTCAGGCAGCTCTGCGCTTGGCCGGCCCGGATCGCCGCAGCCTCCGCGGAGCACCTGCTTGCCTTGACAGGAGCGGCCTCTCTGGGCTCGCTCACAGGAGCCTGGCACTTCATCACGTCACAGCTCTGTCCTTTATAGGTGGGGGCCTGCCAGCTGTCAACCTGGGGGATGTAGCGACAGCAGGGCCTCTGGGGACCTCGGACAGGCCAGGGCTGCTGCTTACGGGGACGGTTCACCGTGGGAGCACACAGCCAGCGCTGCGTTAATCTACGTGTCCCTTCTCCCCCGTCCGTTATGGTTTAGCCGTCTATTAAATTAATATGTTGACTTCAATTAACAACTCAGTGCCTATTAATAGCTACCACGACAAACCCAAATGAGAATAACAACTGATATGCACTCTATGAAGAATGCAATGAAGAGTTTAAGGAAGAGAGCTGCGAGCTCCTCTTGGCCCCAAGCTGGTGACACAGGAGCAGAGGGTCACAGCTGCTTCAGGCAGCCTAAGGGGGGGTGAGGGGCTGGTGGGGCGGCGGGGCCTCTGGGTCCAGCGCCTTCCCATTAAACCCATCCCTGTTTTAGGTGTCCTCTCCACTGGAGCCCTTCCGTCCTGTGTGACCTCAATACCGGGTCCTCGCCTCGTGGGCACCCATCCAAGACACAGCTCCTGTCTGCTTCCCCTGGAGGTGGGACCGGATCTTCTTCTTCTTCCTTTTTTTTTTTTTTAAGACTTTATTTATTTATTCATGACACAGAGAGAGAGGCAGAGACATAGGCAGAGGGAGATGCAGGCTCCCTGATGCAGGACTCGATCCCAGGACCCCGGGATCATGCCCTGAGCTGAGCTGAAGGCAGACGTTCAACCACTGAGCCACCTAGGCGTCCCCCTGTGTTAGTTCCTTATGGTGGCCTTAAGGAGTCACCATGAACTTAGTAGCCTAAAATGACACACATTTATTCCCTTCCAGGCCCAGGGGTCGGAAGTCTGACACAGGTCTCACCAGGCTACCAGCAAGGTGTTCACTGAGCTCCCACCTCTGACAGCTTCCAGAGCCACCCGCCTTGGCCCGTGATCCCCTTTCTCAGTCTTCTAAGCCTGCAGTGCAGCATCTTCCAACCTCTTTCTTCCCTCTTATAAGGACCCTGGTGATTATACTGGGTTCCCTTGAATAATCCAGGATGATCTCTAATCTCAAGATCTCTCTCTCTCTCTCTCTCTTCTCTCTTTTTTTTTTAAGACTTATTTATTTATTTTTGTTTGTTTGTTTGTTTGTTTGAGAGAGGGAAAGAGGAGAGCACATGGGGGGAGGAGCAGAGGGAGAGGTAGACAGAAACTCAAGAAGACTCCCCGCTGGACTTGGAGCCTGACTCGGGGCTCGATCCCATGACCTGAGCTGAAACCAAGAGCCAGATGCTTAACCCACTGCATCCCCCGGGTGCCCCCGACCTCAAGATCCTTACCCTTAATCATTCCTGCAAAGTCTCATTGCCCCGCAAGGTGACCTATCCAGAGGCTCACCTCACTGGAGGTCGATCTACCGCTACACAGGGAAGACTTTTGAAGGCAAGCACGTGGCCTCCTTGTCTAAAGCTCCCTCAGCTCCACTGTTAACAGAAAAAAGGTGACAAACAAGATCCTGTGGAATTAATGAACTGAAGTCAGCAGAAGGGCTCCCCACCGGCTGTCTCCCTAAACCCAGTCCAGAGACCCCTGTGGGGGGACAGTGCATTCTCCACAGGGTGAGCCCCTTCTCTGCCCTGCACCTGTCATGACAGCTCAGCGCTGCCAGAGACCACGGCTGGTAGCTGATGGATGCTCAGAGGGTGGAGACAAGGGTAGGTTCTGGTGCTAGAAAGACTCGGGGGTGAATCCTGCTTCATCCCATCTAGAAGAGCCAGAATGGGTTCTTTAACTCGCTTGAAAGTAATGAAGATAATTCATTATCTTCAGTGGAACCAGCAGGATTCTTGCAAGGAGGGAATAAAGTCATAGATGATAAAATATGGCCCAAGATAGTCACTCAGTAATTCCTCATATTCTTTCCTTTTATCAGTTTTGTAGAAATTCAAAACCAGGAGCACCGCATGTATCTCCTATCCAACTGCTTAAGCTGAAGGGAGGGATGGGGAACCTGGCGTTGCCAGTCATGAGCTTTTATGCAATCAGTTAATCAGACACTCTTTGCAGGTGCAACAGACAGCCCCCCCCCCGCCCCCAACTTATGCTTAGGCTGAGAGATGCTCCAAGTCTGGCCAGCAACTGTCACTCGATCCAGCTGTCTTAGGTGTTCGGTTCTTTTGATGTTTTTTCCTTTTGTAAAACAGATTCTACACTCAAAGGGCTGGAACAGATACAAAAACAAGTTTAAATGGCAAAATCCGTGAATAGAAAACAACAAACAAAACAGTCAGCCTCAATCGCATTATTGGGAAGCTGGAAAGAGCTGACCAGGAGGATTTATGGAGTGAGATATGGTGACTGGAGTCACCCCAGAAGCAGGTGGCGAGAAAAGCACCTGGAAGGTCCCTTGGAGATGCCTCTTGGATGACAACTGGGCTTTTCTCAGACCAGTGGGCAGGTGTGGTCACTGGCCCCCCGGGAGGGAATCCTTGGATGAGGGTTCAGCTCAGAGCAGATTTGGGGGTGAAGAAATCTAACTTCACACCCCGGAAGGACCATCCTGCAGAAGACAGAGGCCCAGGGAAGCAGAATTGGAACCCAAGCATCTCTCTGCGGAGTCACACTCGCCATCAGGGTGCCACAGGACAGGGCAGGGGTGGGAGGGGGGGGAGCTCATTTCCCCATCACAAGAGGCGGTCACATCCCAGTCAGAAAAAAACCCGTGGGCTTGTTGGAGAGGGGACACCAGGACAGGTCAACGTTCAAGGTCCCTGTTCTCAATGAAGGCTGTGTGCTTCCTGACAGTAACTTGCAGGGGGCCAGGAGCCT